TACCGCTGCGAATACGAAAGCATTAACATCATTGATTTCAGACAGGAAGTCAACATATGCATTCGCTTGAATGAAAATATTAATGACACTACGCAATTGTGCTAGTATGTTTTCAACATCTTGTTCTGTTAGATCAATATCGTTATCCATCCAGATGAGCAAATAATTTTGAGCCATCGATCATTTTGGTTGTATGGCATGTGATGATGTTGTTACAGTTGAAGTGGCACCGTTTGTTGTTGTGAAAATACTTTTGTTTGGATATTTGTTCACTCATATTAGATGTGATAATAAAAATCTAGTAACGCAAATTGTTCTATAGATATTTTTTCTAACTTTCATTTGGTTTTCTTCGGAACAATGACTTCAGTGTTAATACATGATAAGCCTTTCTAATTGTAAAGTTTCGACAATAGAACACTACTTATTGTTTATTTTTCATTAATTCTTTCAAAATGAGTTTTTTTGTTTTTCTCAGACGAGCAGAAAATAGAAAGATAATCATTAGCTCAATTTCTTTCATTATGCATGCAATTGAACTCTTGATAATATGAAAAAAATAAAAGAAAGAAGATTCAATGCTGTCTGAAGTAACATTCAAAGAGCGGTTTTATTTACTTTTGAAAGCATCACTGCTAATTAACAAACAATTCAAGACCAAAGTAATTTCATTATTGTAATTAACCATCATACATAGACATCGTACCTAATAATTGCTGAAGAACTATTTTTTTACTAATTCCTTTTTCATCTTGATCGAAAATGTTACTGAGGTTGACATTGTGAATGTATCTTCATTCTCATCCTAGCTAATGCAATTTTTGATTTATATTATACTCATCAGAAATGTGTGTAAAATGCATTCTGATTTTTTTGTCACTTTTAAAGTTCTCTGACGTATAGAGAAATAATATTTCAATTTTGTTTGACTAAATTTGAAATTTACTCAATTCTAACGTGTATCCCTACATGAAAGAAATAACTCTTGGACTGTAAAAAATGTATTTCACTGAAACAATGTTCATAATATTTGTATTTTAACCAAAGGCATATTAACAAGCATGTTTTCAAAAGAATTCATGCTGAACTATAAATATTTTTTCAATGTAATATTTTGAAAATGATAAATGTTATCAACGCAAAATCCGATCGATTCTATGCATTCGAAAGAGAGTCATGTATGTTAACATACAGTTGACAATCAAGGAACACTATCACTTGTATTTTTTTTAAACATGTTCATAGCTTTAAACTTTTAAATGAGTTGATGGACATTTGTATAATGAATGAATCTTGTATTTGTTGTTTTCTTCTGTTATCAATGTACTACTTTCTTCTAATTCTCATCAACGATAATAAACATACGAATTTTTTTGTTAAAAATACATAAAAAATCATCACTATTAAACGTGCATGCATGATATCTTTGCGCAAACACAAAGGTTTGTTCTGTGAAAAATAATTTGTTCGTAACGTTGATTGCATGATCTTGTTGAATGTTTTCTTAAAAGTGCCAACGTAACAATCAAAAGAGATCAACAAAAAATATTACATCTATACCAATTTTTTTCTCATTGATATGTGTACAGTAAGTGACTATGGAGAGGTAGAATACGTAAAGAAAGGAGTGCTGAAGAAAAAAAAGATTGCATATCATGAAGAGCTGTTTTACCACTGACTGTCTCCATACTTCAGACTAGGGGTGAGAAGTTATTGTTATTAATAACAAAAAAATAACAAATAACTTTTTTTTCCGAAAAATCTTAGTTATGCTTTGTAACTATGTAAAAGTATACCAGTTCTATTTGCTCATTATTGTCCAATTGCTCGGTGATGCTACTGACCGCAATCTCCATTAGATAGCCTATGAAACTGAGAAAAATCCTAAAAAGATCTTGTCAAGTATCTTGCTCACCTACAGGTAAAATTTACTAATCGGTTTACGAGGAACGATTCCTCAATGTTCGATTGCCTTTGACTTGATGTTTTGGTCATATAAAAGTCTTTGCGAAATGAGATTCTAGGTGCCATTTTTCGAGTTATGATCTGTACAATCTTTCTAGACATTTTCTCATCTCCCAAAGGCTTATATTCGACCAACGCATCAAGTCAAAGACAATTGAGCATTGGGGAATCGTTCCTCGTAAAGCGATCAGTAAATTTTGTCTATAGATGAGCAAGATACTTGAAAAGATCTTTTTAGGATTTTTCTCAGTTTCATAGGCTATCTTATGGAGATTGCGGTCAGTAACATTATCGAGCAATCGGACAATAATGAGCAAACAGAACTGGTATACTGTTACATAGTAACAAAGTATAACTAAGATTTTTCGGAAAAAAAAGGTATTTGTTATTTTTTTGTTATTAATAACAAATAACTTTTTTTTGTTATTGTTATTAATAACAATAGCTTTTTTTGTTATTTGTTATTGATAACAATAACTTTTTTGTTATTGTTATTAATAACAATAACAATAAATTCACACTCCTACTTCAGACACAATGACGAGTTAGAATAAATGAGAATACGTTAAAATCAAATCAATATCTATACATCTACTCTGGTGCGTGTCTGTAGAGATAAACATAAGATGCACTTCATAGACGATCAGTGTCTACTAATTAAATGTTTCCATAAGTTCCACAAAAAAGTCGAGACTTATTGAAAAATAACCAAAAAGAAAGTGATGAGTGATAGATTACTCATGTTTACTGATAAAAGATTCGAAGGCAATAGGATGTCGAAATAACATGTTGAATAAAATTTTTCATCAGAGTCAACAATAGTAAAAGATATGAAATATCCATATATGAAATGTATTATCATTTCTAAGCAAAGAAATCTAAATATTATTTCGATATATGAAGCAGATTATAATTTAAATTTTGTGTAATTACCAGTCCTTCATCGGTCGACTTCATCAAGGTAAGCTGAATGACTTTAAGACAAAAAATATGAATTGAGATTGAAAAAAGCTTTTTCGTTTTGTTTTTCTTTCACTTTTACTTTGAATATCATCAAAACTTATTGATTTCAAACATCAATCAATTTTGCATTTTAAAACAATACTGTCTCAAAATCATCATCGACACATGGTGAACTAGTTAATTAACGTGACATTTCTATATTTTTTGAAATTAATGAAAATGTATGAGCGGAACTAATTTTTGACATTTGCATATTTCGATCGAAAGTTACTTAACACGATGCACAAGAAGTGACGATGGTACTATAATACCACATAGAAAAATTGCAAAAACTCTCTCTTTGCATACACTGATAATAAAAAAAAATGCTCTCTATTTCTGTAATATTCCTTCAATCTTTCCTCTTAATAAAATTTCGATAAGAGCTGTTTTGTGAAGATATGTGACGATAACACTAATGCCCATTTCAAATTTAACCATCTTCACCTGACATTATTTTCAACATCCTCGATTGATGGTTAGAATACAAACCTAAACTCTAAAAATTTACTATCAATAACTTCATGGGGTAGGTTTGTTTTGAAAATAATCGATTGAGAACAATAACAGAAAGCAGGCCCAAAAAACTGTCATATGCAATTTTGTGTGTTTTTATCTTTCTAATGATGAATATCGTAACTTCCTATCTTGTTTTTATCTAAAGTTATACAAACAAGAACTATCCGCCTTTTTTTTTCATTGAATCAGGCATTAGTGTTCTCATTACATAACATAACAAATAGTTCTTATCGAAGTTTTATTGGAAGGATATTAGTGAAAGAATGATGAAATCTTAGAGAAATATAAAGCATTTTTTTAGCTATAACGAGGCAATTATTCATTAGATCATTCGATTGCGTCATAGCGCTTATTACTGCTTTCGCAATGTTCCGATTTTCTTCAATGCATCTTCATCATTCTTATGATAAGCAGACTATAACTTGGCTATTAGTGTAGCCATTGTTCATATTGTGAGATATGTTTAACAATGAAAGAGAACTAATACTTGATGCCAAAGAAAAAATATAGTTTTTTTTCAATAAATCTTTGCATGACTTTTGCTTTTAATCATGTAAATTCAAAATTTTTCAATCGATTTCATTTAATCATGAATTGATTTTTTTTTCTAAATAAACTATGACGTCATAACAAGAGAATAATAATTATTTACTTAAGAAAGAGTGCGTCTTAAAAACAAACTTGAAATAATAAAAGAAACGACATATTTATTTTTGATTGAGCTAATTAATTTCGGACTAATCAATGTCTAAAAAACAAATTAGACAGCTGAATTGAACTCAAGGAGTCTTGACATTGTTGGAATATAATAAAATGAATTATGAATATATTTAGCAAGTTGAATTATTAAGATTTCTTTATTTTTTTCTATTTACTTTTCGTTAGACGAAAATTTTATCATCTATGGACTGTAAAAGTCAGAAATGAAACGATCATGATTTATTGTGATTGTTAAATAAAACAACGTACTCAATAAAAAAAAAGCATACTATTGACTTCATTATAGCGAAAATAGATACCCCTTTGATAGGTATCTGTTTCATATATACATGAATCAAATGAAAAGAAAGGCTACAGAACACAAGATTAATCTTTGTTTTTTTTTCTTCTATTTCATTGTATCGTTATCAAACTAGTCAAATAATGATAATATAGTGATGATATAAAATACTTTTAGTTGATTGTTATTCTATGAGGAATTCTTTATGATCGTACAGAATACGTAAAAAAATGAGTTAGATTGAAACTTTCTATTATGTTGATGCATAAAATTACAATTATATATTTACATGAGCAAAACATAAACAACTTTTCACTCAATATGAACAAAAAAAACCTATAAGAATCCAAGGTCATTGAGAAAATTTGATTTTATACCAATTTCTAATTCAATTTAAAGGTCGAATGATTCATTTATTAGTTAAAAAAGATAATGTAAAATTTCTATTTAAAAAGGAAATTTGCTGAATAACATCGATTCATTCACTTTCATTTGTGATATAAATTTTAAGTATTCACAACTGTTTTCCTAATAAAGTACATCGATCATGTATACCCATATTTAGTAAACGTTTATCTTCATGTTTAGAATATAAAAGTTCATTAATAACTTGAAAACCATGACGCATAAAAGCTTTTCGTGAAAATAAACTTGAACAAACAACATATGCACCTTTAATATCTAATTGTCGAGCTTTATCAAGTGATTTAGTTATTAGGCGAACACTTAAATTATGACCACGTTGTTTTTCATCAATATTAATAACATCACAATGAAAAAGACGATCAGTTTTATATAATTCAAATAGATCATAACCATCCATTACTTGATCAATTAATGAAAAAATAAATTTTAATTTCTCAGACTCAATAACAAATGAGTCTTCTTCCGCCTTATTTGAAATACCATTGAGTATAACGCCAACAAAATCTTTTTGAGGAGTTGTGGTATCAATAGCAACAAATGAACACTGATCATGAAGTGCATTATCAAAGGCATGATTAGCCCATGGTAATGGTTCATGAGGAATATCAAATTTGAGCATATTATTGAGTGGTTCTTGTATAAAAAATGAACGCATGAGAAGATCCATAACTGGTTGACGATGTTCAGGCAATAATGGAACAATATCTATAGTAGATTCTGAAGCCATCTAAAGAAAAAATATATATATAATTATTTTTTTGATCTTGTCACATACATAGAAAAATTAACTGTCTTATGATGCAGACGTCTGACAAGCAGCGTTTATAAAAGAAACGCAAAATCAAGCACGCTAGCGCAGTTACTCCTTTTATAATAGTGTCGGTATATATTGCTATTTGTCTTTTTCATAACTCATTGGGTACTTCTGTAAGAATGAAAGAATCCGGATGACGAAGGAAGAAAAAAAAAATATAACTTACTGTTTTTTTTCTTCTTCGTCTTTTTCTTTTTGTCTCTGTTCTCTTTCTTTACAAGACACACGCTGTTATTTGTGAAAGAAAAAGTCAATACTAACTGAGTTCTTTTTACTATTTTAACTCATTCGAATCGAAATGTAGTTCAAAATATTTTTCTTATGTAATAGTAGAAATTACACCAGTGCATATTTTCATAAG